GTTTGTGAGTGGATGGATGGATGGATGGATGGTGGATGGATGGATGGATGGACAAGTGGGTGGATGGGAGGGTGAGTGTGTAGATGTATCAGTGGCTGGGTGAGTGTGTGGATGGATGGATAGGTTGAAAGAAGGAACAAGGCTGCCTGCCCATTCTGCAGAAGTGTACCAGGAGGCAGAGAGAAGAAAGTGGCCAAGGCCCAGGGCAGAGAGATACATCTGGGAATGGGCTGCTTTGTGGCATCTGGGCATGAATGGAGGTTGGCCTTGAGCGAAGGATTGGGGTGACCATGGCGTGGTTCCAGGTTCTCTGGTACGTCTGGGGTGGGGGTACTGAAGTGTGTGGCTGTGCCATGTGTAGGGGGGGCCTTTGGGGCCTATTTGGCACGCTGGGAGCTCATAACTGACCCTGTGTGAGCCATGAGTCTGCGGTGGGGGTGCAGAGGGGGGTTGTGCGGCGGACGGGTTTGTGCAGCGAGGAGGTTGTGTGTGTGCCACGAGAGCCCAGGCTTGGCACGGCCCGAACCCCCCTTTCTGTGGGCAGTCCAGCCGTCAACCTCCCTCTCCACCACCACCCCCCTCCCCCAGACCTTCCCCGGCTGCCCAGAACCAATGGGTTAATTAGATAACGGAGCCTTTGATTAGCGGAGGAGGGGGAGGCTCCCGGGAGCAGGGAAGGGGGGCCTGGGCGGAGGGAGGAGAGGAGGCGCCCTCCCCGCTCCGAAGGAGAGAGAAGGAGGGAGGGGCGGGGAGGGAGCGGGCGCGGGGCACCGTTCGCTTCTGCACTGCCGTGTGACTAGAAACTGTAATCGGAGAAAAAAAGAGGGAGACCGACCGAGCCGGGCGGAGGGAGACCCGACTGACGGACAGACGGACGGAGAACCCGACCGAGACAGGCTCCCAGGCCAACACCAGGGTGACGGGGATGCGGCGAGAGTGAGGAAGAAATGCAAGGAAAGGGCAGACGGGGCCCGGGGGGTCCCAGGGGAGGCGAGACAGCGCGCAGGGTCTGAAGGCAGGGTTCCGGGCCCGGAGGAGGCGGCGGGGCAGACCCCGAGCCAGAAGGCAGCCCGGGTCCGGGGTGGAAAGGAAGGAGGCTGCGGCGTGTGTGGGGGCCCCCCCCCGAGGTAGAGGTGGGGTGGGGGTGGCAGGAGGCAGCAAGCGGGGAGGGGAGGTGGCCACCCCTGCAACGGCCGCCGAGGACGGCCTCCCCCAGGCGTGGGAAGAGGGGCGACGGGCGGGGAGGGGGGGCGCGGGGAGACCCACAAAGCCCCTGCGCCCCCCCCCAAGCACGACCTCGACTGCAGGCCCCGGAGAACTGGGGAGGCAGGGCCCCCCGCCGGCTGGAAGGCATGTGGAGGGGGGGCCCGCGGGGCGCAGGGAGAGGCCCAGCGGGAACCGAGCCACGGGGTGAGTGTCCGTCGCCGGGGAGGGGGACGTTGGGGGAAGGGAGCGACAAGGACGGGAGATGGCGGAGGGCAAAGGAGGGGGGCGAGCCGCTGCGGAAGCCGTGGGGGGGGGGGGCTGCGGGGCTGGCAGCGGGAGCGCGGAGGTCAGGAGGCATCTGGTGCGGGTGCCGCGGGTGTCCACGTGGTGAGGGGCGTCGTGTCCCGGGCCCCCAGCCTCACGTCTGGGCAGCTGGGCCCGCGCCATCCCCTTGGCTCGCAGGGTGTGGGCTGGGTCACCGCAGAGGTGGGAAGGAACGTGGATATGGGACGGAGAACACAACACAGCCGTCCTCGGTCACGCACGCTGGGGGCACATTGCAACAAACGCAGACCCCCCACAGCCAGACACACGGGCACACCCAGCCGTAGCCCTGCAGGTGGGGAATGAGTGGGGGGCACAGAAACAGAGTCAGTCCGCTCCCCACCCCCACCGGGCTCTGCGCTCGCTCGCGCGCCCGCGCGCGCACACACACAGAGACAGACCCAGGCACACACGTGTGTATCTGGGTGAAGCGGAGCTTAGCAGCCGCAGGAGAGAGAGAATGTGTGTGTGTGTGTGTGTGTGTGCGCGCGTGTCCGTGGAGGGTGGTCTTGTTGATGTCTGCGTCGTGTGCACGCTCCCCTCCCGCCTCTTGCAGGGAACTCTTTGGGGGCTGGTGTGTGCAGGGCAGGGCCTGTGACGTGGGTGCATCCGTGTGTACTCCAGGCACCGCGTGGAGGGGAGGGTGTGGAGCCGGGGGTGGGCAGAGTGGGGCGCAAGTCTCCCCAACCACTTAGCGCTGTGCCCTTGGACGGGCCATTTCCCCCGTCCCAGGGCCTCAATGCCCTGTCTGTAAAATGGGCATCCTGACAGCCTGCCGTGGGGTGATTGTAAGGCTTAACTGCGTGGCGCATAGAAAGGGCTTGCTCGGTCTGCGGGAGCCGTTACTGTTATGATTGTCATTGCTGTTGTTAGGATGAACCCATCCCCCACACACCTTGTCCTGTGGCAATAGGATGGGAGGACCAATCGGGAAGGGGCTGCAGTGGCCTCTCAGAGAGACCGGCTCCCCGTGCCAGCCCCTCCTGGAACCTAAGCCCTATCCCCTTCCTCAGCGCCCCCTCCCACACGGTGCCGGTCCTGCGGCAGCCGCTGGCATGGGGCCCACCGGTCACCCAAAGCACCTGCAATGTTCTGAGCCTCGCAGCCAGGCCACTAGAGGCCACTCCCCCGCTGTCGCCCCCAGTCCCGCCCTCCCAGCTGGGCGACCCCCCGTCCCCCACCCCTCACCTCTCCGTGCCCACGGCAGCTTCTCCCCCACGCTCCCTTCTTGACTCGAACTCAGGTCCCTCAGCTGCTGTGAGGTTCTTCATGGTTCAATCCAGGCCAGGCCAGTGATGGCGGGGGAGGGACTGGGGGTCTGGATTGGCTGAAGAGCAGGGAGCTGCACCTCATTTTCTCCAGTCCTTGGGGGGACTGAGGTGAGGGGCTGGGAGGCTGAGCCCCACCTCCCAGAGCCTGACGCAGGGGGTTGAGGGGGGTGTGGACGGGTGCTGAGGTGAGAGCAATGTCCTTGCAACCCACAGTCCCTGGCTTTATCCCTTCACCCCTTCTCTGTCCCCATCGCCTCGCCTGTCTGTCTCTCCACTTCTCTATCGTATAAATCATGCGCAGAGCCACGTCTGCAGCCTGGGTTCAAAGCCCAGCAGCTCCTCTTACTGGTGAGGGACTGTAGGCACGTATTTCCTCTCCCTCAGCCTCAGTTTCCCCGCCCGGAAAACGGGCACCAAGTCTTTCGGCTTGGCCAAACTTCCCGCCTCTCTTGGCCTGCGCCGGTGCGCCCGTCTTTCCCGCGTCCTTCCCTCCGTCCACGGTGGGTGGGGGGAGAGTGCAGGGAGGTGGGGGGTGAGGGCCGCGGGGGTCCCCGCCTGCTCACTGAGCCCCTCTCTTCTCTCTCTCTCTCTCCGCACAGCCCCCCGGCGCCCGCGCCGAGCATGAGCGTTGAGGATGGCTTGCGCCCGCGGCTTCACGTGCCCCCCGCTGCCGCCCGGTAGGATGTCCTGGCCCCACGGGGCACTGCTCTTCCTCTGGCTCGTCTCCCCGCCACTGGGGGCCGGTGGGGGCGGCGTAGCCGTGACGTCGGCCGCCGGAGGGGGTTCCCCGCCCGCCACCTCCTGCCCCGCGGCCTGTTCGTGCAGCAACCAGGCCAGCAGGGTGATCTGCACGCGGAGAGAGCTGGCCGAGGTCCCGGCCAGCATCCCGGTCAACACGCGCTACCTGAACCTGCAGGAGAACGGTATTCAGGTGAGCCCGGCCGGCGCGCAGGCGCGTGGGGCAGCCAATGCCTGCGCTCTGGCCTCAGCCAGATGCCTTTCCTCCGCCCCGGGGCTGCGGAGGAGGCCGGGAGCGAGCTCGGGGGCCGCGGGTCCTCACTTCTGCCCCCTGTGGGCATCTGTGACAGGCTGTAGCAGCCAGTGTACAGGAGCTGCCTCCGGGGCAGCGGGATGACTGGGCCCCTGGGGCTCCTGATCTGGTCGTGAGGCCTGGCTCGGGCCTCGGTGTCAGCGGGCATGCGTAGCGTCCCATCCACCAGAGATGAGCCCGTGGCTTGCACTCACTGCGTGGCCTTGGGCCAGGGCTGTCAGGAGGCTGAACCATAGATTCCTTATCTGGAAAATAGGGCGCTAAGAGCCCCTGCCTGGCGAGGTTGGCATGAGGGCTGAATTCAAGACTGAATCCTTGTCAAGGATTTAGGATCTGTTGGGCACCTAGAGAGCGCGGCCCCCTGCAAGTGTCCTTGTTTCCTGTGGTCAGGGGGCTCACATCCGTTTCCGGGAGCTGGTGGAAGGTCGCGCAGCGAGGGTGCTTGTGGGCCCACGGTGGGCGCTCGCCGTTTGTTCATTGGGATTATGATTGAGGTGGGTTACACCTGATGCTTCAAAGCTGGGCTGGGTAGTTTTAAAGGAGTTTCTTAACCCGGGCACTGTGGACATTTGATGTAGGACCTTTCTTTGTTGTGGGGCTGTCCTGTGCCTTGTAGGATGTTGGTCTCTACCCCATCGATGCCAGTAGCATCACCACCCCTGGTCGTGACAACCAAACACGCCCCCAGGTGTTGTCAGATGTCCCCTGGGGACAGTCGCCTCTGGTGCCCAATTGCTCTTTCAAAGCCACCTGTCAATCTCCTGTCCCCACGTAGTGCTCGACACCCACGAGGCTGGGCCCTCCCAGACCCTCAAGATCTGAGCCTCCTCTCTCTGCTGCATTTCTTCCTGGTTTGCTCCTGGGGAAGGGAGACAGGATTCACTGTCCTGGAGACCCTAGAACCTGTGTTTCTCTCTGTGGGGAACAGAGCACCTCTGGGGGGGTGGGTGCCAAGGGGCACCTCGTCTCCTCTGGGAGACTGTGTGGCTCAGGACCCAGGAACCTGGAGCTGGGGGCTCCTGAAATACAGGCACCCCTCGGAGATGTCACGGGTTCAGTTCCGAGTCTCATAATAATAAAGCGAGTCACACGAAGTTGCTGGTTTCCCAGGGCATAGCCAAGTCATGCTGACGCTGTATGTAGTCTGCTGAGTGTACAACCGCATGATAGAAAGGTGTGAACTATGGTGAGAATGACCGGAGTTGGGACAGAGGCACCAAGTGAGCATGGGCTGTGGGCAAAACGGGACCAATAAAAGTGCTGGATGCAGGGTCCCCGCAAACCTTCAATGTGTAATCAATGCATATCTGCAACAAAGCAAAGAGCAAGGAAACGAGATATGCCTGTCAAAGGGCTCCCCACCTCAGGCCATCCCTGTTTCTGAAGCGCTGCGCTGGTCCTCGAACCCCGAGCCCCTCACCCGCTGCTTCTTCCCACAGCTTGCGGTTTCTACTAGTTTGTTTTGGGTCTGCCTCCCATCCCTCCGTTGCAGCGGTGTTGACCTGTCATGTTGCTCTGCTCCTCTCTTCCCTGTACCCCATCCATCCTTCCTTCCTTCAATCATTCACTTATGTAACAGCCAACAGACGCTCACAGCCCCAGCTCGGTGCCAAGCCCGGTTGTGGGTGATCCCCAAGTCACACAAAGCCATGTCCTGCCCTGGGGCAGCTTACATTTACAAGGGAAAGAGAGAAAAAAAAAAACTCACTGAAGTCAAGTTGATTCATAGTGATTGACCCCTCCTTGGGTTTCCGAGGCGGTATCTCTACGGAAGTAGATTGCCCAGTCTTCCTTCCGAGGAGTGGCTGGTGGGTTTGAACTGCCAGCCTTCTGGTTAGGGGTCAAATGCCTTAGGCACTGCACCACCAGAGCTCCCAAGGGAAAGAGACAAGACACTAATATCCCGATGGTGGTGCAGCAGGCTGGGACGATTGCTCAGAGAACCGGAAGTGGGAAGTGGAGAGCATTGCGGGGCGTCAGTTAGTGTGTTGGAACTGAGGAGCTGAGTCCCCCGACTGAAAGCCGGAGGTCACACCACGTGCCTGCGGCCAAAGCTGGCTCCTTTTCTCTGCAGTCCACAGTTCAGTCCTGCAAACATTTGCTGGGTGCCCCTGGTGGCGCAGGGGCAAAGCACTCGTCTGGTAACCAAAAGGATAGCGGTTTCAACCCACCAGCAGTTGGGCAGGATAAAGATAAAGCAGTCAGCTTCGGTAAAGATGACAGCCTTGGAGACCCTGTGGTGCAGTTCCACTCTGTCCTCTAGGGGCGCTGTGGGTCGGAATAGACTCCATGGCACTGGGTTTGGTTTAGGCTTTGCTTCTGTGAAGATTGACAGCTTTGGAAACCCTGTGGTGCAGTTCCACTCTGTCCTCTAGGGGCGCTGTAGGTCAGAATGGACTCCAGGGCAGTGGGTGTGGTTTGGGCTTTGCTTCTGTGAAGATTGACAGCCTTGGAGACCCTGTGGGGCAGTTCCACTCTGTCCTCTAGTTGGAACAGACTCTCGAGGACAGTGGGTTTAGGGTTAGGCCTGTAGGGGTGAACCACAGGGTATCCCCCTGCAGAACCAGGAGGACAGTGATGTATGTTATCAACCAAACAGCACCACCTTCAAGTCCCTTCCGATGCATGGTGACCCCTGTGTTACAGAGCAGGACTGCCCCTTACGGTTTTCTTGGCTGTAAGCTTTACAGAAGGAAATCGCCAGACTCTTCTTCCGTAGCACCAATGAGTGGATTTGAACTACCAATCTTTAGATTCGTGGCTGAGTGCAAACCGTTTGGGCCACCCAACCCAGAGCCCCAGCCACCTCCTACCTCAGTGCCACCACCAAAGAAAATCCTCTTGTGAAGTCAAAGCCTCCTGGTGCTGTCTATGGTTACAGCCCCATGATGACGCTTTACTAAGAACTAAGTGCTTCCGGGTTAGGCCCCTGCTAGCCATTCCACAGAGGACGGCTTCTCGGAGGCCCTTGCCTCTGCAGCGATATCCCTTCCTTCAGCCCTGATGGGTCCCCTCCGGTTAGCATTCCCCAATCACCTTTCTCCCAAGGCCCCCAGCACCCTAGATAACCTTGCCTTCACTCTTGGTTATTAACCATCTCGTCTCCTCACTGTGTTCTTCGTGGGAGTTCCTGTCCCAGGCACTGAGGAGACAGCAGCCAGCAAATCAGAAGATAGTCCTGCCCTCACCCAAGGCATGACACAGGCGTGATTTTTAAAAAAGTCAGCTGTGTGGGAAGAGAGTAGGGAAGGAAACTGGCCAAGGAAGCAGGAACCTGGGATAGAGTGGGAGAACAATGTGGAGCAAAACTCAAAATCATTTTAAACAAATAAAATGAAATAAAGACCAGGTTTACTGGTCTGAGCCTGGTGAGACCCCCTGAGACTATGGCCCCGAGTTACCCTTCAAGTCTGGAATTTGAACTCACTCCTGTGGCTTCCAGCCAAACAATAGACAGGCCTATGGGGTGAACATTTCCATCAGGAAATCAGAACACTGATGTATGAACCTGATTGAAAGATACATCTGTCTATCAATCGTGGGAGAACAGAAGGGCAGTGTTTGCACAGGGAGCTAGCTCAGGGGGCAGGAATGCATAGGAAAGAAGGACACAGGGAAGAGGTAACCACAGGGAGGACGTGGGAAGAGAGCTGTTACACTGTGGGGAACTGCAGTCCACGTCATGCAACAAAATGTGTATGAACCTCTGTATGGGACATGAATTTGCTCTGTGAACTTTCACCCCAATCAAAATAAACATTAAAAAAGAAAAAACCCTACTGTTACAAAGTCAAGAAAAAGTTTATAGACAGTAAGAAATATTCCTTGATGGTTCCCAGGGGTGGCAGGGGAAAGGAGTTAAACTACTAACTAGAGGGAGACACATATTAACTCGGGTGACGGGGGAGGCAACATACCGTAAAGGGGGGAGGTCGGTTGTTTAGATTGCTTGCTGAATTTAAACATGTAAATTTATCTATTTATTTTAGGTTGCTTCAAAATAGCTTGTATCCCATAATTGCAGGCAAATAATAGATGCTGAATAATGTTTTTGAATCATTTTTTAAAAAAAGAAGAAGATACTGAGGTCAGAGTGGGCCTCGTTGAGAAGGGGATAGTGCAGCAAACACGTGGAGGTGACGTGTGAGCACGTGGTGTTCCAGGCAGGAGAAGCAGCCGGTGCAAAGGCCCTGAGGCAGAGCCAAGCCTGGTGTGTGTGTGAGGAACAGTGAGGAGGCCAGCGTGACTGGAACAGGGGAAGTGAGGGGCAGAGGGCAAGGGTGACGTCAGTCAGGGCCTGTGAGGCCCTGTGAGCCTCCGATGGGTATGCAGGACTTGGCACCAGGGGAGGCTCTGAGAAGAGGCTGCCGTGTGGGGGACAGCCTGGAGGGGGCAGCAGGGAGGCCAGTAAGGAGGCTGATGCAGGGGTTCAGGCCAGAGGTGCTGGTGGCTTGGACTAGGTGTTGGTGGGAGAGGTGGTGGAAGAAATTGGTGAGAAGTGGACAGACTCAGGATCTGTTCTGAAGATGACGGGATTTTCCAGCAGGTTGGACGTGGAGAGAGGGAGAGATGGAGAGAGAGAGGAACACACGCACACACGCAGAGGTTAGAGACAGAGCGCGACAGAAATGGGAAGAGACAGAAACGAAAGATGATGCCAATGGTTTGGGTCGGAACTGGTCCCGTGTGCCAGGTCCGCCTGCCTATTTGTCCGCTGCCCCGTGTCCCAGGTCACTGCCTCCAGGCCCGTGTGATCAAGTCCCTCAGAACCTACATTTGCATCTTGTGGGAGTCTACTGGTGGATCAGTAAGGCTTGGGCAGGTCTATTGCAAGAAGCCATGATGGCTCAGTCACTAGGCTCTAGGCTGCTAAATGCAAC